TTCCTTCCTTCCTTCCTTCCTTCAGTGCTAGCCCTTGCAATCGCAGCCGCGTCCTCCTCGGTGGCTTCTGCCGCGGCAGACGCTGCACGGAAGTCTTCAGCAGAGGCGGGAGAGGAGGTTTGGGGTTTAGGGTTTGAGTATTAGGGATGCGGGTTTTGGGTTTAGGGACTAGGGTTTGGGGCTTAGGGATGAGAGTCATTAGAGGCTTGATTTTGAGCCATACTCGTCGAAGCACGTCGTACCGATGTAAGTGAGACACCGAGAGACTCACCTGAGCCGGAAGATCGCCAAATCGAAGCCCTAAACCCCAGCTCAGAGGCTCGCGCGGCCGCAGAGCGCGCTGCAGCGCTGGCTGCTGCAGTGGGAGAACGCAGCGGTCGGATTCCAAGACTTTGCGGGTTTTGGGAACTTAAGGGTTTAGGGGTCAGGGATGTCCAAGGATGTTTTTGGGATGTTTGCAAGTTTTGGGCTTAAAGGGTTAGGGCAAGTATAGGGTTTCGGTTTAATTTTAGGGTCGGAAGCTGGTATTTTAAGCTCCAAGTTCAAGGCTTCCGACTCTTTGGGTGCCGCGTTGCCGTTGCCCGGATACACGGCCTGTGGGGTTGTGGGTTTAGGGTTTAATGTGGAAATCCCGAGAAACTGCATACTGAAAGTTCTGGATGAGTTGGCCGCTCAACAGTTTCCAGCCCCCAATCCTAACTCATGAAGGCCCCAAGTAAATCAGTTCTCCAGCCCAGGCGCCCTCCGTAGTCACAGTCATTCAGCATACACGGGAATCCCAAAGCCGGCCAGCATTTGCCTAGAACCAAACCCCAAAACAGTTTCGAACTCGAACGTGCGCAAGTCTGCCAGGTACCTCGGATCCCACAGCTGATGCCATCGATTCAGCCTCAGATGGGGGATTCTGGCCGAGGGACCCTGCCACCATGGTCTGTAAAGCCGAAGACTGACCAGGTGCTTGTTGCCAAGCCATGTCCCCCTGCCTTCAACAATTCTTCTGGCAGGCTGGTCTTGGTGTGGCGGGCTACTCAGAGCTTCAACATGGCTCAGGGATGCATATGGGGCGCTGTCAGCAAACGTTTGCAGGAATCTTGTTTCGGAGTTGCCGCACATATGATCCCCCAAATGGGTACGCATGCCGTGGCATTTGGTGGGGAATTCTGGGCTGTTGCTCGATCATTCAGACTGTACCACCTGGCTGGGTGGGGTTGCCCTTGCACGCGGCATGCTGGGCGCCACTGTGCTGGGGTACCAGGTAGCGTGCATACAGCTCATTTTGTTGGCAGAGGGATTCATGTAGTGTGAAAGAGTAGGCAAGGGCCCTTCCACAGGTACGAGATTCACCGCGAAGTAGAGCTTCCGGTTTGTGGAGGTCTAGCCAGTTCCAACTGTCATACGCTTGAGACGTTTGTGGTTATGCCTGAGCCAGACGGCTAGACAAAGAACACCACGCCGGGATTATCCATAAGACAATCTTCTTGCTCGGAGTGTCGGCAAGGACTGGGCGGCGTGGAGCGCAGGCGCCGACATTGACCGAAGCAGTAGCCTCAGTTGCTGCTATTGCTCAGGTCCGCGGTTGGCGTGTTAGTTTGTTAGTTTGTTCTTTGAGCCCTGATCTTAAACCCTAAACCAAACTCGGCCGGTGGGTGGGCAGACATCGCTGTTGCTGGACCACTGCAAGATTTGCTGAGTGCCAGCTTCAGATAGCAGAAGGTTCTTGTGGGTCGCAGTGTTGATAGGATTCGGACACCGCATAGGACGTAATCTTGAACCAACTCAGCATGGTTGACCTTAACCAAGACGGCGGAAGTGTGCAAGGAAAGCGATTCAAGGGCCCATTTCTGAATTTGGTGACCAAACGCAGCCACTCTTGCTGATTTGGGCTTTCCAGATATTCCCCGAAATAGATATCTGCCAGCTGCGTTGCAAGACGGAGAAGGGAGAAGCGCCTGAATGTGAATGCCGCCAGCAGGTCCAGAAGGAGAGCCATTGTCGGAAGCACGCATAACGGGCAATACCAGCAGTAAGGAACCCAAGCAATGCTCTAAACCCCCAAACCTTGCATCCCAGAACTTCGGCCCCAACGCTCCTCTCTCTCCGAAATCCGAGAAATCCGAAGTCCTCAAGCGTTCGGGGCCCGGCCTCAAGGCCAGAGCTCCGGCGGCCTGGGGCGGAGCTTGCTGGGACGCCTTGGCCGCTGGATCTAAAGCTGATGATGTAGAACACTGTAGGGCTGTAGGGCTGTGAGGCCGTAAGATGAGGAATACTGTAGCGGTTACGATGGAGAGAACTACAAGGGGTGGCTACACGGAGTACCGCAAGCACACAAGAAAATTACGCGTTGCCACATGTGATGCCATATGATGCCATGTGTAAGTACTTGTAAAGAGGAGCTGTACTCTCCTGAGGGGGCGGGGAGTATGGGGGAGCAGCTCATTTTGCTGCACCCCATGCAGATCTCCATGGAATAAAGTTGTTCTGATAGTTTTGTGTGTTCTGATTGGTGGATGTCGTAGCTAACCCTCCTGACGCTTCACCTGTCGACGAGGCAGAGTTCTTGCCACATTGGTTCCCGTGACAAGAACGTGGGGCGCTGAAGCTTACGATGTGGATGCCCTGAAGTGTAAACGCGCAGGTGCACACCCGCCGAATGCCATTGAAGTGTTCTGGCCCACTCTAGACATTGGCTGTTAATGTCACCACGAGGAGAGCTCAGCCGAAGTTTCCTTTCGAGTTGAGATGTTCAGGTTCCTTGGCGCCGCATCCCATTCGCCGGAGGTCGTCCTGACCTGGGAGACGGGGCCCCCATCGAGGCACGCGACACCTAAGCCAGAGAAAAATACCCTGTCTTCCACCCTAGGAAGGGGTTGGCCCTCGCAGGTGCTTCGCGTTGGATTTGCCGCGGGGCTCGCTTGCCATCCGCTTCTCTCGAGATATTCGTCCCAGCCATGTGGTGAGCCCGCAGAAGTGATGGAACTTCTCCGTTGGCATTCCTGTGCTACTTTTCTGACAGCCTGCTAGGGTCGTGGCTGCGCGCTTTCCAGATCATGTGATTGCAGCATATGGTGCGCTGCCCCAAAACCAGGATGTGTTCATGTTGCAGCTGTAGATTGGCTCGAAAGCTGAAGGACTGTTGTTTGCTCATTTGTCGCTATGCTGCGTGCCGCGCTGCTCGTCCTTGGCTGCTTTGGTGGCTATGTTCCCCGGACTACTGTCAGTATCGGTCGTGGGTGCAGTGCACTTTTCAGAGGTGTAATCGAGGATTTGGTCCAGCTGAGGCAGTTCGCCCTGCAGAGGCAGTTCGCGCGACGAACAACATGACGGAAGATTCGCAAGGAATGGAGGAGCGAGTGCGAAAGCTTCTTTGCAACTACGGCTTCGCTTACAACTTGCCGAACTTGCCCGATGCTCGGAGCTCCATAGAGCATCGTTGTTGTGCAAGTCCGGTTCTACATCAAAGTCTAGGACATGTCCCCTTGCTGCTGATGTCAGTCACCACGGATGACCCTTCGGGTCGGATTGGCTCTCACTCGCAGATCTGGTTGCGAGGGATGCAGAGTTGAGCAGTACTTGAATGTTCCTGTGGCCTGGGGGTGTTTGCATTCCCAATTGGTGAACCCCTTCATCAACCCATGTGCGCACATTGCCTTGGCTCCAACTGACAGGGATGGCAATGATATCAGGTCGGCAGAGCTTGCCAATGCGCTTTTGGGTAAATGTTGCTACGGGTCCTTCATGACACTCATGAAATGTACAAGGCACCCAACAATCACAGTCGCGCAGCAAGTTCCGTAAGGAGTCATGGGCGAATGCTGATGTGGTATTGTTGCAGACAGTGTGTCCCCTGCGTGGCCCACGTTGCCTTTGTCCACCCAGCCTAGAACCTTAAACCCTATACCCTAAACCCCAGAACCCCAAACCCTAAACCCGAAACCCTTGAGCCCTAAACCCCAGAACCCAAGAACCCAAGAACCCAAGAAGCCTAAACGCCAAATCCCAAATCCTAAGCCCTCCCCTTTAACCCCAGAGCCCTGGCGTCCAAACCATCTCCGGTGTGCTCCCATCCTCAAGAAGCCAAGCAGCTGACTTGAAGCCAGCGAGTCCCAGAACATCTAGTGCAATATGGGTAGTTCTCTAAATTAGGGTCGCTTTTTAGTCCCCAATATAGTACGGCACCGATATAAAAAGGACCCTAAAAGGGACCCTAATTTAGAAAACTACCCATATACTATATTGTGATACTGTACTGTATTACAGTGTACTATACTATACTATACTATACTATACTATACTATATTCGACCCTACCACACTACACTATACTGCACGGTACTCAACGACGCTTACTATCCTATACTATCCTGCGCTATCTTTTGCTATCTTATCTTGGCTATCCTGTACTATCCTATCCCATCCTGGGCTATCTTATCCTATCCTGCACTATCCCGCGCTATCATGTTATACCCTGTGCTATCTTCTACTATCCTGTCGGATCCTCCTATCCCATCCTATGCTGCGCTATGCTATACTACCGCCAATACTTGCACGCCATCTTTAATCTTGTGCAGATACGAACACTGGTACCAATACTGATACTCATACTATACTCATACTAATAGCCATAGTAATGCTAACACTAATGCTATGCCAGTGCTAACACTCGTACATATTTTTATGCTAATGCTTATGCTCATGCTAATACTATTACTAATGCCTTGCTGATACCTGTACGAATACGAGTACGAATACGAACACTAAGACGAGTACGAATGCTGATACTATTTGTCATTCTAATAAAGGCACCTATATTCTTACTGACGCTAAAGCTAATGCTAATGCTGCTTCGAGTACTGACACGCATACTAGTACTAGTAGCAGCACCGATACTTAAATTCACACGCACACACATTGTGCCATACTAATTCGATACTATTTCACATTAGACCATACCATATCATACAATACAGTACTATACTAGACTATACCATACGGTACTATAATATGCTAAACTACACTACACTACACTATACTGTGGTGTGCTATACTACGCATTACTATACCTTGCTATAAAAGACCATAGAGCATACTGGCAATACCAGAGCATAGCATACCATATCAAAGCATATAGTAGCAAACCATAGCATCCGATACTACGCGTAGTATACGATACTCTACGATCATAGCTGCTACAACATGCTATATGGTGTTCCCGAAAGGATTTCCGCTTTGCAAATATGGAAGCCTCAGGAAGGGATCACGCTGGACCCGTTGCCCCATCCTTGCTGCGAGCAAAGCAAGTGCGCTGCCATCAACAAGAGTCCCAACTGCACAGCAACTCGGACTAGTAGACAAAAGCATCGAACCTAAATCCTGGAAGCCACGGGGGAACTGTAGGCTTGGATACGATAATAGGCTATCATAATCCATAATATCTTACAGCATGCTGTAATGTACGGGTTTAGGGTTTAGAATCGAAGCCTTCAGTCCAGGTCGTTGCATCCTGACCTTGATGAGGTGCAGTGTCACGTGGCCTTCCGACCACCGCCAGAGGGTGTTGGGGTCGACATGTTCCTGCCGCGACTGGGGCTGAAGCGAATTAAGAGTGGTTAGGGGTTTCTAGGCTGGGTTAGAGTTAGAAGTGATAGACCTCTAGGGAGTCGTGGAATACACTCCGCCGTGCGGCTCAGCTTGGCCCGAAAGCCAAGGAGGGAGTGTGCAGAGCCCACGACCGCCATCAAGCCATATGTCAAGCCGAACCGCCTGCGGCTTACTGCCTTCTTCAGGGGTCGAAAGCAGACCATGCTGGTAACTCATCGCTGTGATCTCGACGTGATGCGGTGTAGGGTGCTTCAATTGGAGGTAGGAAGCCGTTCGAAGTCTACTTCGGCGAGCCCAACGAGAAGGCCGGAGAACCTGAAGCCACATGCCATGTACCAGAAAAGGTTCGAACAGGCATCTAAACTGAACATAATCCATGATGCCAGTGAGATCTCTTGCACCAGAGATCGCTCGTGGCCCAGCGTAGTGCGCAGTCTGCAAAGTCCCAAGCAGGTGTTGGCCTTTCAAGGGAAGCGCTTGGACATCGGTGGCCCGGCTGACGTTGGTGTTTCCACGATGAGCACGGGACGTCATACTGCGCCCGCAGTTATTACCAAAAAGAGAGTACCCAGTTAGAAAAGGCTCATTGCTTGCAAACAGATCCATCAGGAAGCTGCTTCAGTCAAAATGTGCTTGGCACCTAAACCATAAGCCCTAAACCTTAGAGCTACTCCTCGTCCATCCTCGCACCCTTGCGCCCGATATCCTGACCCCGAGCCGAGGTGACAAAGATCTGGTGGTGACGTGCTGAGTTTGCAATCTTCAAGGTTCTATAAGGTGTTTTGAGCTTCTGTAGATTCTGATGAGGTGGTTTTAGCTTCTATTTCTGCCGGTGTTCTACAGGGGTTAGAAATACATCCGGAGCTGCACCCTGATACTGGGAGCAGGTTTCTCGGCAGGAGCTGGCAGCCACCTGCGTGGCTGTCCCTTTTGCTTCCGAAAAGGCCTCCAGCCTTGCTGCACCCTGCTAATATAATATAGGGGCCTAAATGATTAGTAATACTGTGTGTGGGGGGGGGGGGGGGNNTGGACCTCAAAACCCTATTCTAACTATTAAGCCCCTTTCATTACCACGATGTTGCTGTGTTGTGGAGTGTCTTGGCAAGGGTAGAGACAACAATGAGGAAGCAGCATACGCAGTAGTTGAAGGACTGTCAAAATCATCAGAAGTACCAGACACGTCTCTGCAGATGCCAGGCTCAAGCAGTTGGAACGTCACCACGTTGACCTGAAACGAAAGCCTTGAACCCGAAATGGTGCCATCTAAGGAAGACCCTAAAGCCTGAGCCCTTAAACCATGAAGTCTATTTTTAGCCTCGGAGTTGTGAGTCTTTGCTTAGGGAGGCCGGCCAGTGGCACGCATGGGCCATCCGTAGCATGGAAGTCATCATCACAGGCCTGCCCTCTGAGTGACCGGTAGGACCGGGTAAGACGAGATTGAGGTTGAGAGATGTAAGGTGCAGGACGGCAACAAAGCTTGAGTGCCGAGACCCGGTAACTCAAGTCGTCGGATGCCTGTACCGCTGTTCAACCCATGTTCCGAATTTCCATTCTCCACTTGGCACCATCTGTCCTGCGCCCAAGCCTTCAGCCTTTGGTACAACACCGTCAGCCTCAAACCCTAGACCTGGAAACCCAAGCTGCAGCTTCAGACAAGAAGGGGCCCGAATATAGACCCCAAGCAGCACGATCCTCAATCCAAGGACCCTTCATCACGGAGCCCGGATTCGAAGAAACCTCCAACTCCAAAATCCCTAAGTCGTAAACCCTACGCCCAACACCCCTTAGCATCCCTTAGCTCCCAAACCCCCAGACCCTTCCTTGCCAAAAGCCCCGGAAAGCTGAAAGTCGGGAGGCGGTCAGGGCTTCCTGGGCCAGGAACTCTGCAGGCTCCGGCTCAACTAAATAGATAGGTACGTTTCAGTAAGTTAACTTACATCTATATATATATATATATACACACTTGTTTATATAAACAAATAGGTAAATAAATAAGTAAATAAATGGATAAATAAATAAATAAGTATATATATATATATATAAGCAATATATGTATACGTATATATATATATATGTATGATGTATATATATATATATATAAGTACACACATATATCTATGCTTTTGTCTGTTTTGGTAGAGAGGGTTTGGCTTTGGGGTTTGGGGTTCAGGGTTATCTTGGGGGCGTTTAGGGTCCAGAGCCTCTGACTCAGAGGCTTAAGGCTTCAGGCCTAAACCCTAAGCAAGAGATTCAGTATAACAATGCGTAGCAGCAGTAAGTTTCGATCCCGGTTGGGCATATCGGATCTTATGGTTGTTAGTGCAGAGAGCATGACTTGCGTTTAAAGTTGGAAGATGTGCAGGGGTTTGTGTTGTCGGATGTCAAACTGTGGGGCCCGAGACATCAGTGCAATTCCGTCATGGAAGATGGTAAGTCACAAGCACTTTCATCTGTGGAGCCCCGTCAGGAATCGAAGTTCGGTATACAAGTCTCCCGAAGCAAACTGGCGTTGCGGATGGCGCGCGAAGACTGGCTAAGAATTTTACCTCCTCCGCCTCTGTTTAGTACCCGCTGGAAGCTCCGTTTCTGCCAGGTCGTTGTTAAAGGCAGATGGCCTACTGGACTCTCATGGCAAGAAGCTGGAGGTCAAGAAGCTACCCGACAGCAGAGGTAAACATGTTTACAATTTCGACCCGGAGACCTCCAAGATTTTCAGTCTGGAGCTGCAACGTTATTGGAAAAGGGTTTTTATCATACACATGAATATAATAACAAGTATACAAGCGTACAACATAAAACCCCAAGCCGTAAACTGATGGCACATGGTTTGATGCCAACTCGCAACCGAACGAAGCACTCGAGACGTGGCTCATGTCGATTTCAGCGAGCCTGAGAGGATTATCTTGGTCGACACCATGGCTCCGAGTAGCCGTATCGGTGTCAATGCTGACGAGAAGGCCCTTCGCAGTTCCCTTGAGGATTAAGGTCGAGTTGCGATTCCCGAGCCAATTAGCATCTTGTCAAGCGGATGAGCGGCGCGTCAGGTTCAGCTGGAGAGCACGGACATCACCTACCCGACTCAATGCTGTGCGCTGGTCGGCAAGGCCCAGGGGTTCTGAGAGTGGAAGCTGAACAGAACATCCAACCGGAGGAGCGGCCGCTGCGTTCTGATAGCATCGTGTTCTTATAGCGTGGGGATTGCGAGGATTTTGCCCTTCAGGGGGGTCCTTCAAATTTCGAACGGGCCCTAGGAACAGCAACGTAAAGCGTGCATAATCCCCAGCAGCCAGCAAAGCTTAGAAATCCAGAAATGTCCTCGCCCCAAACCCCCACGCCCTTCCTTACGCGGCTCTTGCGGTCCACAGGTACCGACCGCCCACGCGCTGTCCCTCTTCCATCTTGCCGGTGCCACGGGGCTGCGATGGCCGGAGCCAAGGGGCTGAAAGTCGAAAGCCCGACACCCTTACACCGGTAAACTCCATACCCTTAAGCCCTAATTCTGAAACCCTAAACCCTAAACCCCAACGCTCATGTTCAGGTCATGAGCGGCGCGGCAGAGAAGGACTTCGACCTTGGCCTCCGAGTGAACCTGGACGGTACCAGGCCGACAGGGTTCTTTTCACTAAGGTTTGGGGTATAGTTTGTGTCCATGGTTACCAGGATGGGAAGCAAAAACAAGTGCAACATCACAAAACAACCTGTGCCCAAGTCGCGAGGGTGGGCTGCGACCATGTGCCCGCGAGAGAGGAGCACACAGGAGTGTGCCCAATCTCAACCTGAACCGCTTGTGCGAGAGAGGAGCAGGTGCCAGACCATGCTGTGCAAACCACGCACCAGGAAACTGCGAACAAAAACAGAGCTGCAGCTAGGTCAAAGTACAGGCGGTTTAGAGCTTAGGGTAACACGGGTTAGAGAAATGGCGCACAGAGCTACTAAGCGTCCCCCCCCCCCCCCCCCGAGACAAGGTCCCATACTAATACACCCGTGGTCAAGCAGAGGTTCCTGTGAGTGCAGGCTCCTGTGTGTAGACCGTGGAATGCGTCGTAGGCTTCTGGAGAGATTGTAGACCGAGGCTCTTGACGCGTATATGCCCATCATTGCCCGTCAGAACAAGGAAAACCAGCACCAGCATCACACAACAACCTGTGCCCGGTGCCCTTACCGAAGCGAGTGGGACGCGATGGCCCAAGAACCAGCCAGCCTCAAAAACGGGAATACGGCAACCCTTTGGAAAGGTTGCTTTTGCTGGGGTTTTTGGGGATTAGGCTTTCAAGGTGTAGGGCGTGGATTTTGGGACGTGTGGGGGGCTTTTGGGGTTCCAGGTTCAAAGGTTGACGTAAAAACTCTGACAGGAACCCTTATAGCCACCCTTCGGGGAACCTTCATGGCAACCTGGTATAGGAACCCTTATACCAACTCCTTGGGGAAGGCTTTTGCTCAAGTAGGAAGTCACTCGCGGCTTGGGATTGTGGATATATTGCGGGTTTTTGGTCGCTGTTGAACTCCAGCTTCTTCCCGCACCACTCTTAGCCCTAAAATCTAAAGCTGCCAACCCATCTCTTGCACGTACATAACTCTTCGCAGATCTTGGGCCCTCCCTTATGCTTTGGAGGGGATTTTGCAAATCTAAAGCCCTTCCAGCTTTCTGATCGCCGGGTTGCAGAGCCTCGGCAGACAAAACTCGTCTCAAAGCACCGAACCCTCTGCCCAACAAAAGCCCCAAACCCTAAACCCGAAACCCTAAGCTTTTCTGAGCTTGAATTCAACTTACGCTCGAGGCACCTCCTGGATGCATGCAGGGCACGGACGCAGGGAGGCCATTTGCTTCTCAAGTTCGCAGATAAGTTGAAATTGAGAAAGGGGAAGGTGTAGCAGTTGTCGTAGTAGTAGTTGTTGTTG